TTGATTATATCTCTGAGCCACAGAGTAAGGCTATTTCATTTCTTTTTCTGACCCCCTGGCTCTTTCCTTGGCTATTGACTGGGTTAGGTATATATGGAGGAAGGGAGATTCTCCCAGCATATTTTGTTTGCAACATAAGATGTGCGAGTTCAAATACTCTAAGGCTTGATGGGGTGGGCTTTAAATACAGGCCCTTCCCTACCGCTGGAGGAGGATCTTTATGCTGAAGTCAGTGTTGTCTGTTAAGTAGAGTTGTCCACAAATCTTACTTTTCAGGTATTAAGTCCTTCTGTAAGAGGCTGTAGAGTTTTGACCAGTGGGACTCCATCATAGCACAGATTAAACCCCCCATTGAAATGAACAGAGAGCTTTGTGCCTCTTGCAGAACAGGAAGGACAGAATCTTATTTCACTTTACATGCCCAAATGGCTGTTTTCCAGCTGCATAACACCATTTTTGGCACAAATACAATTTGTGATCTTATTCCACCAGTTCATTTTATTCCTCCCCCAATAGATATTTTTATCCACTTTATCCATTCAAATTGCAACAAGGGGAATTTAGACTGGATATTAGGAAAAATTTTCTATGAGAGTGCTTCAGCACTGAAAAAGATTTCCTAGACAGACTGTAGACTCTCCAAGACTAGACATTTTTTAGAACTGGTTAGACCTAGAAAAGATATTTTACTTAAGGATGACCCTCCCTTGGGCAGGGGTTTGAATTAGATGGCTCCCTGAGGTCCTTTTCCACCCCACTTTTATATGATTTTGTGCTCTGACACATTTTACTGCCCAGCCTTTCTCTCACAGAACACCATTTAGCTTAATTTGCCTGGGAAAGAATTGCAGGGTTGGGATAGTATGTAAGCGTCACCATCATATGTAAGTCATCACCATCATGTATGTCACCAAGACAGCAAATGTAGCAAGAATACAATGAAAAGGTAACTAAGGAGCTGAAGATGTAACGGTGTTTCTGTCTGTGTAGTCATAGGAAAATAATACATTTATGAGAATCAGAGTTATTATTCATCATCATCAAAAGAGAAAAGTAGCTTCCCAGAAAAAGCTATTTACAGAAATCAAGAATGTAGTTTGTGTGTGTCAGGATGTACAAGCCTGATGTATTCTTATGTTCACCACAATTATTTCAGGTAGACAAAGATCTTCTTCAGGATCTGAAAAGTGAAGACATTTTTAGGAAGTAGAGAACACAGTAATGAGATCCTCCTGCCACAAATATCTTTTAAAGGAAGCAAGTCTTAAAGTAATGAATTGACTACAAGGGTTGGTTTTTTTGGTTGAGTCATCTCATATTAGTTTCAACAAAACAGCTAGGCCCTGATCCAGAAAAACACGTAAGCATGTGCTTCAGTGTAATAGCGCACCAAATACCACTGGAGTCAAAGGAGTCATATATTTGCTTAGTGATTTCCTGAAGTTCTGTTTTTGAAAGATTCTGGTTCATGTGAAATGAAAGAGATGCCATAGGATGAGTTTCTTCAGTTAGATCAGGTTCTGTAAAGACCGCAGAGGACTGGAATGCTTGGATTCATCTGTAGCTGTGTACTCTTGTGACTGCTCTGCAACATTGCTGTCAGATGTGATTCCTTCTGCTTCTGCAGATGTGCACAACAGATTTATGGTTACAAGTTATTCACAGTGAATTCCTGACACAGAAGCATTTAGGGTTCCTACCAGATGTCTCATTTTAATAATACATTCATGTGTCCTGATTTTAAGGATACAATTAAGCCCTGAACAACAAAGATAAAATCATTGGAAGACATGTAGTTCCACTTTTTTGTGGAGGTCATCTAAGGTAGTTAATAAAATGAATGAATTCAATTTTGGTTTTGGTTTTTTTACAGGAGGATTACTATCATGTAGGGCTCTTTCAAAAAATGAAGAATAGGCACATGTCTTAATTTACAGTTGTCTGCTTAGGAAGAATGCAGTTGATTACTCTATTTTTGCTCAGGCAGTTTGGATGTTTAATTATCTCTACCAGTTTCAGTATGCATTAGGCAAACATAATATCATTTTGATCCTGGTAAAATGGGTACCACTGAAAGATTTGTTGGCTGGGCTTTGCAAGTTTGCTAGTAATGTAATTGCCCAAGAAACACTGCCTGCCTTTGTGAAGGGCTTAGGTATTTGCTACAGCTGAAGTGCACTGCTTCAGGTAGATTTTAATGCTAGCTTTCCCTTAGTCAGAACTCATGAAGAATTTTAAGGGAATAATAAGAGTATTAGTTAAGCATATAGGATATACATTTCAAACAACATGTCCATCCACAGTATATACATATATAAAGATAGAATTGAGGCCCACAGTTTGTTATTTAGATTATATATTATATAATATATATATAATAGGGGCTTCATGCCTTGGGAGCTGCACAGCGTACAGGCTTCCCAGGATCCCTGCTGTGTGTCCAGCAAAGACTGCCACACCATGCGGGCAGTGTAAGCACCCCTCTTTGCCATCATGCAAGCACCATAAGCTCCTTCCTTCCTTCCCTGAGCAGTATGAGATTATTTCCTTTGTCACTGACAGACAGCTTGAGCACTCCACACTGCTGTCATGTGAGCAGTGTGAACCCTGTCGCCCGTTAGCTCATGAGCCCTCCTGCCACTGCTGCATGGGCAGTGGCCTCGCCAGGCCCACTCCTGCCATGCTGATGTGCTCCATAAATCCCAGCTGCTGCAGCAGCAGGAAGAAAAGCAGACGGGGAAATAGTATAGCTTGACCCCTTGGACTGCACTATAACTCCTCATGGGCCTGGTGCCGTTCACAGGCCACCAGCTTTACCACCCTGATCTATGGCAAAACCAAGGCTTCTGTGGCACTTACTTTAGAAGATCTGACTTATTTTAGAAACTCACTATATTTCATTGAATGAAAAACCCTATTATTTGTACTCACTTTTATCTGTTTATCCCTATGGCTTCACATACAAGATACCAGAATTTAATTTGCAGATGTTAAATATCAACAGTTAGATGGTTGATAGCAGCCAGAACAGAAAGGAAATGAAAGGGCTCTTGAGGGGAAACTTCCCCCCAGAGTTTATTGTTTTACATAGATTCATAAATTGTAAGGCCATAAGGGATCATTAGGTCATTTAATCTGATCTCTTTTATAATGCAAGTAATATAATTTCTTCCAGTTAATGCCTATATTGAGACCAGCACCTTGCATTTGCCTAAAGTATATCTTCCAGAAAGTCATCTAATTGTGATACAATGATTTCAAGAGATGAGGAATCAAACTCTTTCCTTGGTAGTTTGTTGCACAGGTTACTCATCATCTCTGTTAAAAAATACATGCATGACTTGTCATTTGAAATGTTCTAGCTTGAATTTTTTACTGCCATTTCTTGCTTTGTCTTTATCTGCTAAATTTGTAATCAGGCAGTCCACATATGACAATGCTCTGTCAAAATAGTGTTTAGGATGATGATTTAGCATGACGTGAATGCTAAAAAATGAACACATGAAAGAACTTTCTCAAATTATCAATACTATAAATTGACATTTTCACATTTTTATTTTCAACACCGGGATCTTTTTGTAGTAGTTTTTATAACCACCATGGTGGCTCAGAAGAGACAGAGCAGTCATAAAAGGGTTTATTTCCTGAGGCTGCCAGACAGAGAGAGAGCCTTTAGGTCTCTCAGACTCTGTAAAAGCTACAGTAAGAAACACTGCCTGTGTTAGAGATTGCCCCACATTCAGATGAAATAAAGGAGGGCCATTTGTCAGGTCACCATGTCTCAAATTCTAACTATTTTGGGTGTCCACCAATATCCCATGATAACTGGAAGTCATCCTTCAGTAATTTAAGCACTGCTCTGACTTAACTTTTATGTACCATAGGATAAAGCAGGCAGTTGTAGTGAATCAGCTGAGGCACAGGCTAAGTAATCTGCCTTTTAAATCTTTATGACTTTCTTCTGTTTGTGCCCAGTTTTCCAAAATTCTGGTCTAGATCAAGCAGTCATGAAAGGGAAAAGTAAATCTGGATCATGTGCTTTAGTTATTCAATTTACAAACAACCTTCTTCAAGCCACCCTTCCTCCTCCACAGAAATAAGAGAGACATTTCTAAGAGCTTTCCTGTGGGTCCTGTTTAAGACACCAGTTTGAAGATATGCATGTGTTAACCACATGAGTGTAATCTTGCCAGCAGTATTTAGAAGCTAATGGTGAGGTGGTAGTGAAAATAGCTGACACCCAGTGAAAGCCACTTGAAAATGCACACACTTATTGCAAAATAATAAATCTGGGACCAGTTAATGCCACAAGATTATAAACTATGAAAAAAGAGTAAACATTTATTTTTTCAGACAGTTTATAATTAAAGTGTGGAACTCAGTGCCACAAGACGCAGTGGAAGCTGACAGTTCAACCCAATTAATAAAAGGGGTTGGACAAATTCTTGGAGGAAAGGTGCACCAGTAGCTATTGAACACGGCAGTTAGGAGTACAGCCTCTGAATCAGAATTTTCTGGACCTTAAATGTTGGAGGCTGCAAGTGGAAGAGGTACAGGGCAAAAACCCTGGTCATACCCTGTTTATTCTCCCTTCCTTTGCCACTGTGCATCATAGGATACTGGACAACATGGCAAGATAGCCCTAGGGTCTACTAAATGGTAGTTTTTATGGTTTTATAGGATGTATAGTTTCATCAAGTCTTTATTATATTTAGCCCATCTTAGCTTTCTTCAAGCTCATCATGTTCTTCTTTTATTTAAATAAATAGTGATGGAATTAGTACACCAGATTGTCTCCTTTATCTTAGCAGCTTAGGGTCCCTTTGACAGGATTGACCTGTCCCAAGGGCAGGTGCAGGATGGAAAACAGAGGGGGAAATGACAGGAAAGCTTCAAAAAGCAGAAGAGCTGATAGCTAATTACTGATAACTTCATTCTTTGGGAATGAAGGATAGGTCTACTTAAAGCCAGATCTACTAGGTCTCAAGTCAATTTCTAGACCCTCCATCCTTCCAAATAAGCTGACACCTCTTTCAGTCCTAGTTTCAGAGGATATGTCTACACTACAGTCACTTCAGTGACCACTTTTGTGTAGGTATACCTAAATTAGCAAGTTTCACACTCCTATGGCAGCACAGAGCTCAGTGGGTAGGAATTACAGGGAAGTAGGGCTGGAAAGGATCTCATGAGGGTAGTGTGAAAGCTGCCTGAGAAGCTTGGGTGGTTAATCCACATTGAGTTCTGTGTTTCCATTAATACACTGCTATCAATATTCAAGTAGCTAGTTTGCAGGATAGGGCTTAAGTGGGCACATCTACATGAGCTGCCACTGCGCAGTTGTTACTGTGCTGTCATTTAGTACTTGCATAACCAAGTACTAAATGACTACAAAGTAACCAGCATTACTGCGCAGTAGTGTCCTGTCATGGTTGCCTAGTGACACTTACTGCACAGTAGCTAATACTATTGTGCAATAGTGTCACGTCATGGTTCGTGCCCGGTGATGTTATTGCGCAGTTGTAACGAGTTACTGTGCAATCATAAAGAGTTACTGCTCAGTAAGAGTCTTGTGTGGATGTGCCCAGTGTGACTTTAATGCAGCATCGGCTTTACATTTGCTTCCTGAAGAGTGATGAAGAAAAGAAAATAGTATCATTTCTATCAATACTGGACAGTACCTTTCCACAAATTAGGAAGAATGTTAATGTAGAATTTGCAGAATGAAAACCATGAGTTTTCCAGATCTTGGAAGAGTTATTTGTGCAAGTGATTATTCATACTACAGCTTGCAACCTACTATAAATTCTGCCAGGTAGCCCCATGAGCTGTGTCTCTTTTTGGTCAGCTGATACGGAAATCTCTCTCTGGTACCTGTACAATAGAGAGTGCTTGTTTCTGATACATAATCCAGAGAAGAAGAAACACCTATATCTGGTCAAATATATATTTTTAAATGTTTAGAAACAATTATTTCTAATTTTAGAAGCTCTTTCAAATAATTCATAAACATGAATCCAAATAAGAACATGATGTACACTGCAATATAGAAGAGCTATCCTGCAGTCCTTAGCAGTATTTAAAAAAACCCAGACATTTATGTAGACAACAAAAAATCTCAGATTTATAGTAATAAATAGAAGCTCTATAGAACCCCTAACTAATGTGTATTAGAAGGTAATTTTCCTGAAATAGATTATCGTATAACTTCAGTCATTCCAATCCTTATGTCTATCTATTTATTTATTTTTAAGCCTTAGAAGCTTAAAGAGTACAAAACAATCCCAACTTCCAGTTAAAAGAACCTTCTATTACATGTATTAACAGAAGAAAAAGTTTGAAAACAGGAATCCTGACGATTCAAAAATCAGAAACTAAAATGATTTAAAAATAATTTCTTGACTTGTAAGGTATTCTAATCGTGCTTTATGTAGCCATCCTCTTCATCATGTGCATAGCTTCTGTTTGCAGAGTATATGACACATAATACAGGTATCAATTTCATGGTTTATCAGATTATGTCAATTCTAGTTTTAGTAGCATTATCATGTGTTGAAACTATAGGACATGATCAGCACATATCAGAACGTAAGTGTTATCATTTGCCTCTACACCCCCAATATCTAATACTGGGGGTAAATTTAATTTTGTAAAGTCTTTGAGTTGACCAAGGCACCCTAAAGATTAATTTTATTGAAGGAGATGTAATTGGAGGTCCAAGGTAACTTCCTTAATCCCTTACATTGCTCTATACCACCGTAGGGGTGAGATTTATTGCCAGTTCTTTGTTCCATTCTTTTTTGCCTCATTACATCTATATTAACTCTTTGGTTGGTCATTAGGAACCTGTATAGAGTAGCTGCTGCCCTGGGTAACTACAACATTTGAGGAGTTTCGGAGCTTCAGATAGCTTGGTTGTTTCTGGATAAAATTCAGAGGTGAATAGGTGATGGATCTGAAATATTGCCACATTGCAGTAGGTGGCAGTTTGTATGGTAAAAGATGTAGAAGATATG